CGAAGTGCAAACTGAGTATACATTCAGAAATACTTATTTATATTTACATGTGAACATATAGTTGAACATTGTTTCTAAGCATAATAGTATAACTTAAGCCATATCACTTAGGAAATAAGTAAAGTTGGTTGTATAATTGGAAGTAAACTAGGCAAACGGAACATTGTTTCTAAGAAAAATGGTTTAGTATCATGCCCATATCATAAGAAAAGTCAAAGAATTATTTATGTTTGGTTATTTAAACAGTTCAGGGCGACGAGACATTGTTTTTAAGCAAAAACCTAGTGACATGCCAGAAGAAAACAAAAAAAAGTTGTGCAACCTATTCGTGTATGATCTAAGGCATGATGAACATTGTTTATAAGCAAAATGATATAACGTCATGCCATCTGTAAGATGGGCAAATGGTTAATTGGAGGATTAATTAATTATCTTATGTCAAAGCAACTTGGGATCTTGGTGAGAGAGTTACTTTATTTGTATGTGTCTGTTTGATTATGGGTCTAGTTTGACTTGTCTTCTGATAGGTAGCAATTTTAGATGCTCGCCATGTGCTGAAGCCTTAAGAGTTAGGTCAATTTTAGTTTTTTCATAGTCAAGTTGTCCTGATTTCATATCTGACTTTGTATAAATTTTGAGAAGTCACTTTCGTTAGGGAAGTGTTGCCGAAATTTTTACAATCTAAGGAGTTAGTCAAATTTTCTCTTTGCAAAATTCAACTTTTGTCTTATTCATATATCTGTCTTAGTATAAATTTTGGAAGAATACTTCCCCAAAAATAGTGTTGCCCAAATTTTTACTAATTCAGGGAGTTAGGCATAACTTGACTTTGTAAAGTCGAAGTCGTATTTCAGATTTCATATTTAGCTTAGTATAAATTTTGCTGGAAAAACTTGGCAAACCACCCTATGCAGAGAAGGCGTTGCCAATTGTTTTTTTAAATTAAAACTTAAATTAATGAGGAATTAAAATATGATGTGATATGAGGTTTATTTGCCATAAATTTAAGTATGATTTTGGATACTCGTTTGTATTTCGTTACAAATACTTTTCATTTTATTTGATTCAAGATTGACTAGTTTCGGTATGATCCTACATGGATCATTTTTTTTTTTTTTTTTTAATAACAGGCCGGTTTATGACTCAACTCAAACTTATTTTCATGACCCAACCCAAAGACTTAGTCATTGTGGTTTATTGTGTTTATTGAGGTTTTCACCCATACTTCTTTTAATGATAATTTTAGAAGAACTAAGTATTGTTTTATAGAAAGTTGGGTGATGGTTGAGGTTGTTTGTGTAAGGCAGGGTGTGAGTTTCCGGGAATGGTAAAATTGACCACATTTGTGTCTGGAGATATGATTTTTGTCTGTGTTTATGTTTTATGCAGGTTAATGTTTGAAGCTTGATGTACAAACCATACTTTTGAGACAGTGAGAATGACAATCACAAGCTGCACGATGTACATACCTGATGGACTATCCTCTACCTTTTCTATTTTTTTCTCGACTGACGATGGATATGTGAGTGTTAGGATGTTGGTTTGTTTATTTACTGAATGATCTTTTAGTCTTACTTTTTTTGTTTTATAAGTTGAACGTGGAGGTCCGTGGCAGGTATCAAACTTAAATCCCTTTACATGTTTTAAGGCCTCTGAAGATGGTTCCTCTTCTCATAAGTCAGGGGCATTTTTGTCGTCACAAAAGGTTGAAGCTTGTCTACCGTTCCTCTCTGCAGTGTGTAAAAAATGATAGAACTTACAATCACATTCACGATTGTCTAACGTAAAGAGATCAACCTCTAAAAACGCGTATCAACCGATACTTGAGTGTCGAAAACGACCCCCCAAATCCACAAGTGGTTAACAAGGGCCCCCACTTTCAGGCCCTAGATAACGGATTTAAAACTGGAATATGGGTTCGGAAGTCAAATTATATGTTGTTGTTGTTGTTTTTTGTTTGTTTTTGTTTTCGTTCAAGGTTGTTGTGTGCCAAATTTTGTGTTATTTGGAGCACTGAAATTTCCTCTGTTAAGATTTCTAAAAATTTTCAAGATTTACGAAATTGAATGCTGGCGAGATTTTATGAAAATGTATTTTTGCCTTGATGTTTTATATGGTTTTTTTTTTTTTTTTTT